GCCTGCCTTCCAGGGCCTGTGGGAGGAAGAGAGAAGCCCAGTGACAACAGGACAGGCCCCCCGGAGGGGCCCGGGCGGGAGCCTGCAGGAGGGCCTCGCACACGGGCTGCTGCCTCATGGCACCGGCTGCGGGGCCGAGGCCCAGAGGACGGCTGGGCCCTTGCTCGGCTCACTGGGTGCGGCTCTGCTCCTCCTCAGTCTGCACAGGGAGACCTTCTTACAGTGCGTTAGTCCTCGCAGTCTGCAGAGTGCCGGCATAAAAGCCGCTTTTGTCAAAATAACAGGCTGTACACAGAACTCCAGAAAAGTTTAGAGAACACGGATGAGCAGATCAGAGTTGGTTCTTGCGAAGGAGCCGGCCTGCTTGGGGTGCGGGGGCCCCCTGGGGCAGTCGCTGCCCTGGCCGGTGCAAGTCCTTCTGCAGGGCAGTGCGCCCAGGGACTCTGAAGTCGTGGCAGACTTCCAACAACTGTTTTGTAAGTTATTTTTAGAACTTTAACTTTTTTAGAAAGGATTTGCGACGACTTAACATATTTTTAATTCTCACCGAAACCTTGAAACGGAGAGAGCTCATCAGACAGGTTTTTGCTTTTCCGAGTGTGTGTCAGTGCGATCAGAGCCACGTGGCAGCACACCCCCCACCCCGGCCCCAGTCAGTCCTCAGGGCTCCAAGGAGCTCCTTTGGTGTAGAGCAGAGCTGGGGAAACCACAACTCTGTTTTCTCCAGCGAGACGAGCTGAGCCCAGCCCTGCTGCTGCCTTGGATGGGTGTGCATTTAATTTCCTCCCAACTGGCTAGGCCTGCTCAGACTGGGGCTTCAGGGCCCCAGAGTGAACAGCCTGGGGGGAGGGTCCCATGCTGGAGCTTCTCGTTGACAGGCAGACGGGCCTGCAGCTGATGCCCTGGGTTCAGATCCTGACCCCTGCAGATTCATCTCCTGGGCCTGGATAAGCCATGCTGCCTTCCCCAGATTTTCTTTCCTCCTATGGGGAGGGGGACAGTGACAGCTGCAGTCTCAGGGGCCCCTCCCCTCCACCTGCCCCAGCAGCTGCCTTTCCTCCTCCCACTCCCACTGGCTGGGTCCCTCCCCCTCCAAGCTGGCAGTCTGGCTCCCCTCTCCCTATTAACCCTCCCTGGCGCCCCCTCCTGGCGGGTGGGTCACAGGCTGGCATTATCCCTGGCAGTTACTGGCATGTCCAGCTCACACATCACTCTGAAAAATGCACTTCAATGGGACCTAAGAGACCTTTGGACCAGGGTGAAGAATGAAGAGAAAGCTGGCCAGAGAGGTCCCAGCTGACTTGGTTTCTCTTCAGCAGGTCACAGGTCCCTCTGCTCAGGTCTGTCCCTGCACCAGCGGCGGCAGCTGTCCACCCAGGGTTGTCCTACATTGGGCAATGTGCAGAGGGGCAGGGAGATGAGGGTGCCCCTTGTCTGTGTCCACAAGGGGATCTGGGCCAAAGCCAAGCAATATCCTGAGTCCAGCACAAGATATGGAGCCTGCAGGTCAGCCAGCACCATGTGTCAGGGCATGAAGCCACACTGGGGACCCCAAGACACAAAGCCAGGCCCCCCCAACACAGTAGGGGCCATGCAGATTATGGCCCTTTCACCCCAGTTGTTACTGAGCTCCTTCCTTTCAATATGCTCAGATTTAAGCTTCGCTTCTCTCTCTGCGTGAGAAATGGCTCAAAAGTGACAGCAGAGCTCAGGGAAGACGGACATCCTGTTACCTGAGGGCTGCGGGTTCTGCACCAGGCGCAGTGCCAAGCCAGCTGAGGGCGGGAGCCGGCGAAGCATCCGTCCCCCGACTAACTCTGAAAAGAGCTTCGCACTGTTGACACAATACACGCTCTTTAATATCACTCTCTCAGTTTAAAGGGCAGTTAGCTGCTTGGTTTCCTCTGTGCCAGGGAAAAGGACATGACAGTTCCGGTCGGCTGCTCCCAGCTGCCTTGCTCCTGCTCCGTCTTACAGGCCAGGATCTATCTTACGGGTCGGGAGGCTGACGATCTCAGAATCGCAAACCTGCGTGGAGCGGGGTAGCTGCCGGGCCCTGGAGGCCTCTCCCCGGGCGTCCCTGCCTCGCCCGCAGAGCTACTCCTAGGTTGCAGCAGGCGCATGTTAGGGCCAGGCACAGGCAACTGTCCTGAGCCTGTGCCAGGCTGACCCCATGAGGCCAGTGTTACTTGCAGAGTCCCACTGTATTGATAAGGAAACTGAGGCACAGAGAAGTTGCGTCACACAACCGGGTGCCCACAGCCGGTCAGCAACACAACCAGACCATGGCCCAGTGGGGCCCTCGAGTGCAAAGCTCAGTGGGGTCCCCGCCCTGTGTGGGGCAGGTCAGAAAGGCTGCCGTAGCGTCCACGCACCGAGCTTTGGGCTCCCACTCCCGCCCTGGACACCTGTTCCCAGAGGGAGGGCAGTTCTTGCACGGCCGTTGTTGCCTGCCCGAGGAGCCGCTGGGTCCTGCCCCGCACAGGATGCTGAGTCTCCAGCCAGGATGTTGCAGCCTGCTCCCTGTGGCCCCTGGCCCAGGCCTGGTGCACCAGAGCCTGGGACACAAAACCCTTATTTGCTGGTGCATATGCTCCCTCTGGGACCGTTGGCTTTAAGAGGAATGGTGGCCAGCTGTTCTGGTCACACTTTCTTTCATGTCTACACTAGAAATGCCGTCACCAGCAGCCTCAGAGGTGCGCCCATGCTGGCACATGCAGTGGTCCTCTAGCTTTCTGTCAGTTTTTTTCATCCCTGGGCCGCAGGCCTGCGTCAGGGGCCCCCAGCCCAGAGCTGTCTGGGAGTTGGAGGAGGGGCCTTTGACAAAGCACATCTCAGCTTTTAAAGCTGGGGCTGTGTGTAGACCTTGGCGGGGTGGGGCACGGAGCATCAGGAGAGAGTGGGAAGAAGGATGCAGTGTGGTGGGAAAAAAAGATTTAAAAAGAAGTGCCGCCCTCCATTTGGGGCAGGAAAAGTGAAGTTGGACTTGGAGAGCTGGGCAGTGCCCTCCCACACCGTTAGCATTTCCAGGGAAGGGAATGTCCACTGTGGCCACAGACAGATTCTCTCAGAGACTCAGGAAAGGGAAAAGTTAGGAACATGCTGATTTTGTCATTGAAAGCACACCCTGGTGCAGAAGGCATGGTCGATGATATAGTAAACTTATTATCATTGCAAGGGATGGTATGAATCTACTTGCAGTTAAGTTTGGGGTTTTTTTAATACGGTTGTAGGAAAAGCTCTTATCTACAGTTTAAAGGCACATTTTCTTTGTTTAAGTTACATTTTACTTTTATAGACTGCCACGCCAGCAAAAATTTGCAAATTTAATTTGTGTTGTGAAAGTATCACCGTCATCGAGTAAATGTGGATTCTGGAGAAAGATGGGCGGATTTCTTAAAAATGAATGTGAGCTGAAAGGTTTCAGGGCTGCCGTAGCTTGGGATTTCTTTGGGGTTGGGGGTGGCTGAGAGGTTGCAGTCAGCCTTGGGGACCTGCCCCCTGGAGGGCAGTCCCCAGGTCAGCTCAGCCTCCCTCCTCCAGGAACTCAAGACTGAGGGAGCCTTAGCTCCTTTCAGCCAGGGGCTCTGGGAGGGTTGGGGGCAGAGGGGCTTCCTGCCAGATCCCCCAACCCTCCCCCAGAGAAATAGACATTGGACCCGGTGCGCTCCAGTCAGCAGACCGGGAGCACAGAGGCCAAGAATGCCAGAGCTGCAGCCATCCAGGGGGACCATGGGTGCTGCCAGGCCTGGGACCTCCAGCCCCAGGTTGCCACAGGAGGCAGGAGTCCCAGGGTGCACTGGTTTCCCAAGATGTGGCAGAGGACCATGGTCAAAGAATATACTCACTCCAAGCTCCCTGCTTGTCACCCTAGGGCCAGGGGCATTAACGGGGACGAGCCAAGTATTTGGGTCTGATCCCGGTACGGGTGTTCTGCTGTGGGCATCTCCACCTCGGCTGGCACTCTGTGAGGTGGGGAGCCAGGGGGGTGGTGGCATCAGGCCCAGGGAGGGACCTGATTGGTCTGCCCAGGTGGTTTGATTCACTACCCTGAGGACTGAGCAAGGCAGCCTAAAGCAGCTGCCCTGCCTGCCCGGAGACAGCCTGCCCGCCATGTCCCCACAGCCAGGATTGGTGGGTTGGCCAGGGCAGGGGCCTGGCCCACCAGGGACGATGGGAGAGGCCCGGGACAAACTCCCTTTCAAGAGGCAGCAGGGATGTAAAATGCCATCTTGTTCCTCTGATGCTTTTCCAGGCTGTGGAGGTCGGGCCTTTCAGCACCTCATGCTCCCTGAGGGCTGCACCCAAGGGTGTGTTCCGTGGGGCACAGTGTGCTCCTTTGGGCCTCTCCCTGGCCCCCCTTTTCCCAGGAGCCATTCACTGGAAGGGCTCTGGACAGAACCCGGAGAATGAAGCATGCTTGTCGTTTCACAGGGCGTAGGAGCCAAAAACCTTTGTGACTGCTCTTTTCTGCCTTTCTTTTTGGTATTCGACATTTCAGCATGTTCATGTGAATCTTTCTCAGCTCCCTCCTAAGCCTTAGTGGACAGAGACAGTAGGGGTGCAGCAGGGAAGGGGAATGGGGCTGTGGCCACAGCACCCTGGGGAGGTGCCAGGGAGGGCAGGTGAGCCCTTGGAGGTCGGGAATCCTGTGGGGTTTCCCCGCTCCACCGGGTGTTGCAGTGGGTCCCGCTGCACCCTGCCGAACCCCAGCCACCAGCTATTTCCTCAGACGGTGCGGAGAAGCCCTGTGCACCCTCAGGTCTGGCCCTGCTCGCAGCTTGCACGTGGTGGGCACCATGAGCATGCCACGTTGTACTCCTGCCCACACATGCTGGGTGGGAGGGCAGTGGGCAGTGACTGTTCACACACCCGCTGCTGCAGGGGTGTCTGTATGCATGTTGGAGCACCGCGGTCTTTTCCTCTCCCGGGGCTTCCTAGTTCAGGTTCTGCTTTTTAAACCTGCAGCTCTCATCTGTGGGTGCCCCTGTGTGTTGCAGGATGTGAGAGTCTTCGGTGAGGATGGGACGTGCAAAGTGGTGGAGATCCCCGTGGACATGACCTCCAGGGACCTGTGCCAGCTGCTGGTGCACAGGAGCCACTGCGTGGACGACAATAGCTGGGCCCTGGTGGAGCACCACCTGCACCTGGGGCTAGGTAGGGAGCGGCCCCATCAGGCCACCTGCTGCTGTCCCCACATGCTCTCCTCACCTCCCGAAACGCACCGGCAGCCCCCGTCCTCTCCCAGCGCTCTCAGGAGCTGACCCTGGTTGTGGGAGCAGTGCCTTCCCAGGGCCTACACCCAGTGGGGAGTTGCTCCCTGTGCGGGAGCCGTGGAGAAGTGCGGGACGCGCTGCACACCCGTGCTCTGGGGCAGGCCCGGCACTGGTAGGGTTCTGGTGCCACTGTGGAGAGCAGCGCGTGCCTGCCAGGGCCCACGGAAAAGCAATGTTGTCATTTAGTGGGACCGACCAAGGTCACTGGAAGAGAGGGTTTTAGCGCCCTAGAGGGACCTCGGCCTGGGGGAGGGCTCTGGACGGATGCAGCCAGGCGGCACGCGTGCCCGTGAGCACCTGTGAGCATGAGAGCCATGTCCCGCGTGCTTTCTTCTCTCCCTGGCAACACGGCCTGTGGGTGAGAGCCCTTAGGGTGTGGGCAGTGCGGAGCATGGGCTTCAGCGCTGGGGGTGAGTGTGCTACACGTGGTGTGGCTGTGGCAGAGCCCACCCTGTGTTCAGGGACCGTGCGTCACACCGTGGCACCTTGCTCCGTGTCCCTTGCCCAGCGCTGCTCTCAGCCCCCTCTTGCTTGGTTCCCACTGTCCGTGGGCTTCGCGGGAGCCACCATTTCTCAGTGGGAGGGCACAGCTGTTTGCTGGGAGTATTGACTGACTCTGCCCTTCACTTTCTGTTGCGCGGAGTGGAGAGAAAGTCTTCCTGCTACACGTCCTGAACCCCCCACGGATTGGGCCACACATCCCAGGGGGCTGTCATTCTGTCCCAGCTCAGACCTCACCTGGGCCCCCAGGACCTGTGGTGTGGAGAGCCGGACTGACTGTAGCAGTGCATGCAAAGCTGCGTGGAGGTGGCACTGTGCCCTCTGCCCCTGTTCACACATGATGCTCCCCCCCCCCCAGAGAGGTGCCTGGAAGACCATGAGCTGGTGGTGCAGGTGCAGACCACCATGGCCAGCGAGAGCAAGTTCCTGTTCAGGAAGAATTATGGGAAATATGAGTTCTTCAAAAACCCCACCGTGAGTCTTGGCTCTGGGGGTCTGGGTGGGAGCCCTTGCACTTCTGCAGTGGCCACTTAGGGTTCTTGGGAGCAGGTCGCAAAGTGAGGTTCTGGGGGGCAGCAGATGGGCGGAGACTAGTAGTCGCCATTGAGCGAAGCTCCTTCCTCAGAATTTGGTCTCTGAGGGAACACAGGCCTGTGCTCCAGGGCAGAGGTGGGGTGCCTCTTCCAGCCGCTGTCGCTGTGGGGAAGGGGGAGTGACAGCAAGGCCCTTCCCTGGAGCAAACCGGGCAGCTGCTCCGCAGATTGAGAGCTCGTTACTCTCCAAAGCCAGCAGATACTGTCTCGTGACATTCATGCAGGAATGAGTAGAGAACTGAGTATCCAAGAGTGTTATCAAGTTTTCTGGGCGGTCCTTATCTTTTCTATGTTGTACCTGGGGGTGGGGGCTTGCCTGTCTCCTGAATTATCAGCATACGGGCTTCAGGCCCGTGTGGCCTTCACTCAAGTCACCTGAGCCAGGTGGGCCAGACCTGAGCCATCTCTGGCTCTGAGAGTCTCATGGCTTTTTATTGCAAAGTAAGAAATTTGCTAATTGGTTTGGGGGGTGCAGCAGCACAGCCTCTGCACATGACTGTGCTCCTCTCTGAGTTTTGAGAGTCATTTGTCTTGTGCTGTGACGCACCTAGCACCACAATGCACATGGCCCGCTGCCTTGGGAAGGCGTGAGCGCACGTTCAGGCCAGAGGCGCTCCGGTGCGCACTGGGCGTGGAGGAGGGAGCAGGACTCTCCGAGGCAGGGGTTGCCCCCTGTGTTGATGCAGGGTGCGGCACTGTCGCTGTGCAGTGTTTGTGGGCTGGCTCACCTGCCAGTGTGCTTTTCCCCAAGTAGAAGCTACCTCCTAACACGTCTGTTCTCTCTTTCCTGCAGAATTTCTTCCCAGAACAGATGGTCACCTGGTGCCAGCAGTCCAATGGTGGACAGACCCAGCTCCTGCAGGTATCCGGCCCGCGGGCCTTCACGCCCAGACGGAAGTGCCCCCTCGAGCTGCTGTGCAGCCTTGCAAAAACATGGAGCAATTCCGTTCTTACTCACAGATTAGCCGCGGCAGCCGGCTGGGTTCAGAGAAACCAAATACACGCTCACTCGGGGAATCCGTGGGGTGCCAGGTTCTTCTAGACCAAATGGGCCCCTACACACAGGAAGAACTTCTGTGACTCGGAAGCCTCCGGGCAGAGGGCAGGGTGGAGAAGCTGCGGTTCTCTGAGCTCACCCCAGAGCACCGATAAAAACCCTTGTCTTAGCCGTCCCCCTGCTTTGCGAGGCCCGTGCCCACAGCCCTGCAGCAGTGGGGGGAGCGAGACAAGAGGCCGCGGTGCGCTCGCTGCAGACTCGTGCTGTTCTGGCCCCAGGGGCAGGCGAGGGAACGTGCTGCAGCCCCTCTACATGGGGGGACCCAAAAAGCAGAATGTTTATTAAACCCGTATATCGCTTCTTCGCGTTTAGACTTCAGTCCCCTTCCAAGTCCTCGCCTTTGGATGCGACACACCCACCGAGATGCTTTTCCACTGCTTGGAACAGTGTTTGACCTCGTCCATTTTGATGTCTTTCAGTGCTTCTGCCACTTTCTGTTTCACCTCTTTCACATTAGCAAAACATTTCCCTGTGAGAACTTTTTTCATGGGGGAAACAAAAAAATGTTGTATGGGGCAAGATTGGGTGAATAGGGAGGGTGGGGCACAGGGGTCATGCCATTTTTGGTCAAAAACTGCTGAACACTCAGTGTGGAGTGGGCAGGTACGCTCATAATCACCCATCATGAAATGGGCAACAGCACTGAAGGAGGCTTTAAAAAAATGCACTGAAGCCAAACGCAGCCTCTTACAGCAACGCCCACCAGTGCCGCGATACAAGTGGGTTCCTAGAACACTTGTGCTGCAGGCGGCCCGTCCTCCAGAAGGTGATTCCGGATTGGGGGTCTCCCCTTGTAGGTGTGTATTTACAGCGTGTTAGTGACGGAACAGACTGTTCACTATGGCAGCCACGCTCCAGAGCCTCCCAGTGTGGGAGAAACCACTAAGGCCGGTGTCCCGCAAAGCTTAGCCATAGCCACCTCTCTCGCTGGTTGGCCCGCACATTTGTCTCTGGCCCCAACAGACAGGAGCGTCCACGCTCAGTCGTGTGGTCTCTCCCGAAGTGCCCCCGCCCCCTGCACGTGGCAGGAGCTGTGGACGCATGGCTGTCACAGCCCAGTCACAGCGAAGGCGAAAGGGCCAGCGTCTGGGCTCACTGACCTGAGGTCCTTGTGTGGCCGTGAGGGTGTGCCACCATTGCCGAGGCTCCAGGAGGTCCAGCCCAGGTGGCCCATCTCACCTGTGGGAGGAGCATGTCCCCTCTTAGGCCAGTCCCCTCCCAGCCTCTCTACCCTGGAGGGAGAGAGCTACCTGGGGGAGGGGCTCGCTGGGACTCTGGGCTGTCGAGGGGTGTCTAGAAGAGGTTGTGTGCCGTGTGGGAACAGGCGCACCCAGGCTCCCGGTAGTAACCACAGGCACCTCTGGTGGGCTGCTCCTGGCCCATCCTCTTACCTGAGCCCTGCTGACGGGATAGGGAGTTGGAGGGGAGACCAGAGGGAGGCGGGACCTGCCCCGGGCCATCTCACAAGGGGCAGCGTGCTCTGCACTCTTCTAAGGGCTGCAGAGGTCTGGCAGGTGCCAGCTTCATCTTGTCTCTTCGAGTTCAGGTGGACTCGTAAGACTTCTGAAAAGAAGCACCTCATCTGAAAATTCTCACCTTGGCCAAAGAGTATCTGTAATGATTCAGAAAGTGCTACAACATCAGCGATGCTGATGACTTGTCTGCTTTGATTGCTGCAGATCAGCCGCCTGACTGCCCACCTTTGCTCTCCCACAGAATTTCCTCAACACCAGCAGCTGCCCGGAGATCCAGGGGTTCCTGCACGTGAAGGAGATGGGCAGGAAGTCCTGGAAGAAGCTGTACCTGTGTTTGCGGCGCTCTGGCCTCTACTGCTCCACCAAGGGGTCCTCCAAGGTGAGCACTGACCTCACCACCAGCTACCTCACCAGGGGGCGCTGCGTGGGTGGGGGTTTGATGCAGGTGCCCTGGCCTGTCGAACTCCTGAGCCCCTGGTGAAGGTGGAGCCGCAAGTCACCTGTTTGCTAGTCTCACTCAGACACCAGGCGCTCACACAGACCTAGGACCCCCCCCCCCCAGGCTGTGTCCCTCATCCCCCTGGGGCTGCAGCAGCCAGCCCTAAGGGTCACAGATTGTCTCTGTCCCAAGGCTGCCTGCTTTGTGCCAAGGGAGATGTTTTGAGGAGTAAAAGGCCATTTGCACATGCCCCCAGTGGGAAGAGGAAGAGAGAGCTGGGCTCCCTGGAATTCTGTGCTGGGGTCTCCTTGGTGACCCCTTGGTGTCTCAGCTACTTGTCTTGCCCTGTCCATGGCCACCAACAATGGCAGCCATGCCTGGCTGACCTTGGCCAGGCGTTTCCCCCAAGAGCTGAGGTGTCCGCTCTGGCCTACAGAAAGAGGAAGTCCCGGAGAGCCCCAGGCATGGGCGCTGAGCATCCAGCCTCTTTCCTGCTGCTCCAGGTGCAACAGGTGCCGGACTAGAGGCAGGCTCCTTCCTCTGCAGAGGGAGACTCTTCCGTTCGACACAGAGTGCAGTGGGTCACTTCCCCACCTCCCAGCTCTGGTTTGTGGTTCACTCACTGGCCTCATAGACGCCGAGCCAGGGACCTTTGTGGCCTGGAGCAGGGGACAGAGCAGGGTTGGAGAGTGAACCGGGGTGGGGGGAGGATGGCAGTGCTGTCAGGAACACGGCAGGCACAGCAGGAGTCTGACACGCCACACAGGAAAGTGGGATGGTACCTGCTTCTGAGCCTGTGCTGTTAACCTGGACCTTCAGGTTTCAATTTTGTCCCCTCTGCCCTCTGTTTGGTTGTGGGGCTCCGACTTGGCACAGTATGAAATACATACACACAGTCTTTGGTCCTAGAGTCTGGGGGGCTCTGCTGGGGGCAGGGTGTATTTGATTCAACTTGGCACTCCTCTGATGGGTGGCGGTGGGTGGCAGACTGGCCGCGGGAGACACCTGTGTAGAACGCCCTCTGTTGGGGAGGACGAGAGACTTCGGCCCCGCCATGTGGGTGAGTTCTCCCCAGTGAGCCTGCGGCTTTTCACAGGAGCCCAGGCACCTGCAGCTGCTGGCCGACCTGGAGGAATGCAGCGTCTTCTCCCTGATCGCAGGCCGGAAGCAGTACAGTGCCCCCACGGACTTCGGCTTCTGCATTAAGGTACCGGGCCCCCTCCCAGGCCACGCTGCCAGCCCATGCCCTGCACACCATCCTTGATGAGCATTCCCCTGGGGACTTGGGGTTCAAACAGTACGTCCTCCCTTGGTTGTAGCTTTAAAGAAAAACAAAACCAGTGATGTGGTTTCACACTGGACTCATTCACCCGAGTGAATGTGTTCCCTGTCCTTTGTGCCGTGTGGTCCATGAGGAGCTCAGAGGCCCAGAGGCGAGCGCGGTGGTTAGAGTGGGCCCGTCGGGGGGCCCGGACAGTCTGCCACCCTGCCTGGGCCAGCATGCTTCTGGCCCGCCCTGGGCACTCACTTCCTTTACCCCGCAGCCAAACAAAGTCCTGCATGAGCCGAAAGAGCTGCGGCTGCTGTGTGCGGAGGATGAGCAGAGCCGCACCTGCTGGATGACTGCCTTCCGGCTGCTCAAGGTAGTGGGCTGTTCCTTCTGGAAGTGGTTGTGGGGTGTCCCCACCTCTGCCAGGGGGCTAGGGAGCTCCTCCCGGAGGCTTCGTGGGGGAAGGTCGGAGCCTGTTACCTACCTGGCCTCTGTTGACACTGGGGGTCAACATGGGCCCCATGCCTTGTGGGGCACCTGGCAGCATCCCTGGTCTTTCCCATTCGGTGCCGCAGCACCCCCACCATGTGAGCCGACCAAAGGTGCCTCTGGACCTCGCCAAGTGCGTGCGCCCCAGGGCGCGGGGCGGGGAGATGCCCCGAGGACAAGGTCTGGCTAAAAGGGCTAGGAATAGGGACATCGGCCCAGGAGACTGGGCTGCAGAGAGTGTGCAGGAGGGCTCATCCTTCCCATGACTGCCTGTCACCTCCTGGCTTCCCTGAGGGCACATGAGGAGCTGCGCAGTCTGCACAGCAACCCGCAGGCACGCGTCTCCCGGCAGCAGGAGCTCTTGGCGGTGGATGGCGGGGGTCTCGTGCAGGGCTGCGCCCTAGACAGCCGTCTCAGTGATCACACAGCGAGTCCTCACGCCTCTGTGGTAGGCACGTGGCGGCGGAGCCCAGTCCCCACAAACGCTGCCTCCTGCTCTGTGCACCCTGCATGTCTGCAGTCACCTACGTTTATAAAGTCCACGCAAGCTGCAAGGTAGTTGATCAAGAGAAACTGGCCGGAGTTTGTTCGGTCACCTGGGGCCGACACAGAGCCTGGGAATTCCGTCACTAGAACCCTCAGCCTGCCTGACGCTCAGCTGCTCCGAGACTGCAGGTGGACTCCCGGAGAGCAGTGGGCGGGCGGGGGCTGAGCTCGGATGCCCCACGGGGACACACTCCCCATGGGCTCCGGGCATGGGCGCCCCCTGCCTCTGCCCCGGAAACTCATTCTGTGCCGTTTTTGCTGCTGATAGAACAGAAAGGGACTGACAGCACGACCGCACTCTTTGGTGACGGGCGAGGACGGTCAGTGCTGGGGTGAGCTGTGCCACATCACGGCTGCACCCCGACAAGCCAACCTTAAGTCTGAGTGCCCTTCGGTGGGGCCAGCTCGAGGGAAGATGGACGTCAGGGCCCAGGAATGAGTCAGCCCTGGGGCCCTTGTGGGAACGCGGGTGGAGCAGCGATCAGAGGGCCAAGTGTGGAGTGGGGTGGAGAGCGCACACTGCCTGGGTCTTTCTGCCCGGTGTGTGGGAGGAAGGAACGGTTTGGGGAGGGTGGAGGAGTTCTGCCAAGGGGGCAGACGTGGCTGGGAAAACTTTCAAGCTTTGCATACTTGTGTGATTTTTCTGGTCTGTGTGTGCATAATCCGTCTTGGAAAAAGGAAGAGACGAAATGGAACAGGGAAGGGTGGCTGGCTCCTCGGGGCTTGGGCTCCCTGGCGCCGGCCACTGACTCTGGCTCCCCCTCAGTACGGGATGCTCCTCTACCAGAGCTACCGAGTCCCCCAGCAGAGGAAGGCCTCGCTGTCCCCCTTCTCCACGCCTGTGGTAAGTGAGCCTCCCGCCTCCCCCAGCCAGGGGCCCAGCCAGCCGCTGCGTCAGCACTGGCGCCCGCCCACCCGCCCGCCCGCCCAGTGGGGAGCTTTGAGCGAGCGTGTGCATTCCAGAGACGCCATTCCGACCCACAGCGCCCCAGGCCAGGAGGCCAGCTCAGTCCTCGCAGCAGAGGGACAGCTGGGGAAGGTCCTCGGCCATCCTTGTGCCGGTCCCCGCAGCCCCCGGGCCGTGTAGGTAGATGCTGTGTTCAGGGCTCGGATGGGAGGCAGCAGGGAGGCTCCCGGAGGAGCCGCTCCCTGCCTCCGCCTTCCCTCTGGCCCCGAGCCCTCGGGCGCCATGACAGGCGATGCCTTTTGGTGAGAGCGGAGGGCACAGCGAGCCTCCAGGTTCTCGGGACACACTGCGCTTCCCAGAGGCGAGCTTAAAGATCCTCGCTGTCTGTCTCCGGGACCTCCGTCGCCCTGCGCTCCCGTGCCCGAGGGAGGGACGGTCGCTGTGCGGACGGGGCTCCAGGGACTTTGCAGTCTCTCTGAGGCCTGTGAGTGCCGGTCGGGGCCGGTCCTGCGGCACCAGCGGCCTCACCCTCAACCTTGGAGTTCGTTCCTTACTCCCCTCAGAAGGAACCAGAGCTATTTTTGGCTCAAGGGCCCTTTTGTCAGACTTTCCTCCCGAACCTCAGAAAGTCGGGGCAGGCGGTGCCCATCGCCCTCGCCGTCTGCCCCTGACTCTCCGACGTGTGGCTTCCCTTGCAGCGCAGCGTCTCCGAAAACTCTCTCGTGGCCATGGATTTCTCTGGGCAAACGGGAAGAGTGATCGACAACCCGGCCGAAGCCCAGAGCGCAGCCCTGGAGGAGGGGCACGCCTGGAGGGTGAGGTCACGCGGGGTGGGTGCCGCTGCTGCGCTCCTGGACGGTGACTGTGTGGGTGCAGGCAAGGGGGACGGGGCTGGGGAGGGGGAGGCGGGCCCAGCTCTCCCTGGGGGAAGTGGTGGCTCCCAGCACCGGGCCTCCTGGCTGCCTCCTGTTCCCGGGGCTCCCCGACGGATGGAGCGGATGGAGCGGCGCGGGGCGTCCTGGCCCAAGCACGGGACTGTCCCTGCTACGGACCTCGGGGCCTCGTGGCTTCGCCACTGACTAGCTCCGTGACCGGCAACAGCCCTTCCTCTGAGGCTCGAGGTCCTAATCTTCAGGTGGAACGATGTGCACCCGGCTTCCAAGTGGTTCTGACATTTAAAGACAACGCCCAAAGCATGAGCCCGCTGCTCTGGCTCAGCAGTGCTCCCTGAACTTCATTCAGCAAGGGGGGGGGGGCAAGAGGGGTGGCGAGGGAGGCGGAGGGGGGTGCGGGGAAGGAGGCGTCCCCCCAGCTCTATGTCCCGAGTGCCAGCCCTCAGGCTGGTGGGTGGGTGGGAGGGGGGGAGCCCTGTGTGGCTGTTGAGGTGTATCCAGCTCCCTGCTGCCCCTCTGTGGGAGACCAGAGCCCCGCCCCATGGTGCCCTGTGGTCAGAAGCACCGTGCCCACCACACGGGACACTTCTGGTTTTGTTTGTAATGGCCACACCCCAAGAGCTCTTTGTTCTCCCTGGGCAAATGGGGCTGGGCTGGCGCTGCACAGGACGGAGTCCCAGCCGTCCGGGCGCTCGGGTGTCCCCCAGGGGTGTGTGCAGAGGCCTGTGGGTGGTGTCTGTCTGCTGGCATTCTAGTAACATGGGTGTTGATCTTGCAGAAGCGAAGCACCCGGATGAATGCTCTGGGTAGCCAGAGCCCCCTTCATCCTTCCAACCTCAGTGCAGGTACAGCGGCCAATGTCTCTGTATGTAAGGAAAATGAAACAGCTCCCCCTGCCCCCAGCAGAGCACACGGGGAAGTGTGGCATGGGGAGGAGTCAGCTTGCTGTGGGGCGGCCCCTACGAGGGGCCGGGACCCACCCCGCTCTCCCCCTGCACAGTGATCCACCGCACCCAGCACTGGTTCCACGGCAGGATCACCCGGGAGGAGTCCCATCGGATCATCAAGCAGCAGGGGCTGGTGGACGGGTAAGCAGCACTGTGCGCCGGGCGCCTGCCGGCCGCCCCGTCACTCGGAGTGTCCTGGACCGTGGGTCCTCCTTTCACAGAAGGGCGTGTGCGCTCAGAGGTGTGCGTGCTGCGTCAGGCTTGCCCACTAGTGGGTGTCAGGAGTGGGCTTGGTCCCCATTTCTGTCCCCGCTTTGCCACATTTTGCTGAGACACAGAACACAAGCTGCTCAGTGGTAATTAATTAGGCCGCAGGCAAATGCGGAAAGAATTTTGCCCGCACCTTCTGAGGAATGCATTATGTCGGGCACCACGGGCAGAGAGTGGACAACCCAAGCACAGCAGAGCCAGCTCATTTCTCACACTTGGTGTCAGGTGAGTGGCTCTTCTGGCTCGCAGGCGCCGCGTGGCTTCACTCACATGCCTGGTGGCCGTGAAGAGTGACCGGGCATGTTTCCCACAGGCCCTCCTGGGCTCATTCACGTGCGGCCACCCCAGTGTGCCACCCCTTCTCAGAGTGACGCCCTGCCCGCCCCCCCATCAAAGCCTGGCTGCACTCAGCACCCCAGTGGTGGGGAGGGGTGCAGGACAAGGGTATGGGTGCAGCCCTGTGGCTCACAGGGTCTCGAGGACCCATTCACTGTCCCCAGCTCCAACAACTAGCTGGTCTCACTGTGCCTGACCCCATTCCAATAGTGCTGTTACTTTCTCCTCCTCTTCTTCCCCTGCTTTCTTCCTTCCTTCCAAAGCAGTTTGAAGAAAACCCAAGACACGCCAGTATTTTTAGCAGTGAAATGTTTCAGTGCACAGCTCTGGGGCCCCCAGACCGCTTCCCCCGACACTGCTGAGTGTCACTGTCACACACAGCGAGGTCGCACGCACATCTTACTGCCGCCCGGCATCGGCGCTGTGCTCCCCTCTCCCTGAGGGTCCGCACTCCCCTCTCCCCGATGGTGCTCCTGGAAAAAGGTCTCTAAATGCAGTTGGTATGAGTCTGGGTCCACCAACCACACCTGGTCCCTCGTCCTTTTAGTCCTGAGTGCAGCTGCCTCCTGCCCACCCCATCGTCCTCTCTCCCTTTCCCCCCGTCTCTCCTCTGCTGGAGCAGCCGCGTGGTCATCAGTGACCCTCTGCTCCCCATCTCCCTCGCTTCCTGCAAGGGCCGGACTCTGGCTCAGCTCTGGGAGAGAGGCTGCGGGGGGTGCAGAGGAGCGCAGCTGCCGTGGAGGCAGCCTGGTAGCCCTCCTCCTGGTCAGCACAGGCCTGGCCCTCCCTGGCATGTGCCCCACCACCACCACGCCGTTTCTGCAGCCAGTGGTTCCCACCTGTGTGCATGTGTCTCCTTGGGCACAGAGCCGTTGAGTTCCGACTCGGCTCCCTCCTTTCTTAGCTGAAACCATTGAAATTGCCCTTGTCACGTGTTTGGTTTCCTGAGACGACAGGGTTACATACTTAACTGCCAATTTTCAGAACACTAACTTGGTGTTCGACTGTCCTTGGTAGTGACAGATGAGATCTTTACCTTTTTTTTTTAACTCACCGTGAGCTTAGATTGTTACATGTGTGATTGACTTCAAACAAAATATGGTCGTCTTGATGCTGACAGTGCTTTCTTTCTGGCAAGGAGACGTCTTTCTGATTGGTCCTCGAGTCCTTTGGACCCAGCACTGCTGCCCAGCTTGAGCAGCGGCCAGGCCCTCAGGCCCACACACCGTGTTTCTCCTCACTCTGTCTCGTGTGGAAGGGTGTCTGGAGACCGTGGCCATAGGTCTGTTCCGTGGACAGATCCAGAGCACGTGCTTTTCTCAACCCAGAAACGAGTGGGGGTCCAGATGGAAGACTGTGGGCGGGCGCTTCTTCAGCCTGGCAGTGTCTCCCTCCTCTTAGTCTGGAAGTCTCACTGAGGTTGTTAACTCACACACCTACCAGCTCGCCCTGCCTTGTGCTGATTGGCTGTCGTCCCCCCCGCCCATTCCCCCCTTTCTCTGTGTTCTCTGTGTCCTTTTCATCTGTAAGGGACCCGAAACTGCCCCATGTGAGTTGCCCTCAGCGGTCCTCCCACACTGGAGCAGTCAGGCTCCTTTGTCTCAGTCCCTCACAGATTTTCTTAAGTGGTCTGGGGTTTTTCCCCTTCAGTTTGGGGCTGCTTTTTAGGTCTTCGGAAACTATTCCCCAGTCCCAAAGTCGAAACTAGGAAACAGGGTGTGTTCTCCGCAGGCTGTGTCCTGGAGCTCGGCCCACAGAAGGGGCCACTTTTCCAGCAGCAGTTTATCCTTCTACTGTTTCTTGTTAAAAATGCAGGCAAAACGCGTTCCCTTTCCTGTTCTGCCCCCTTGCTCACCAGGGACCCAGAGCGCTGGTGCTGGGCCTGCACGCCCTTGCTGAGAGCAGGGGAGGCTGTGCCTCCAGGCTGTCAGGTCCTGCGTTTGCTGCTGTGTCGAAGTGGGGGTGGTGAGCGGAGGGCAGAAGGCTCTCGGTCACATTGCACAGCATGGCTGCGCTTCCCTCTTCAGGGCAGGCACCTCGCCTGGACTCCCAGGAAGCCGGAGAGCCATGCTTGACCCTCTGCCTCCACCAGCTCTGAGGGAAGCCAGCATCTCTTTTCAGCTTGGCTTATGTTTCAAAGTGTGGGGGGGGGGGGGGGGGTGGTTCTCGTTTTCAGTTATACAGATGTTCTCATATAGTCACAATTGTCATTTCTGCCCCATATCCTTCCAGACTTGTGACTGCCTTGCTGTGTAGTTGGGTTTTCCCCACTTCTACATCACACAGGGACTCCTTTGTGCTGTTTTCTAGAACTTGCATTGTTTCTTTTTTCCCTCCCTCCTTCCCTTCTTTCCCCCCTTCCCCTCCCTCCCCCTCCCTTCCTCTTCTCTCCTTCCCTCTTTCTCCCTCCCTCTCTCCCTCCCTCCCTCCCTCCCTCCCTCCCTTCTCTCCTTCTTCCTTCCCCTCTTCCCTCTGTTCTTCCCTCCCTCCCATCCCCCTCCCTCCCATCCCCCTCCCTCTCTCTCTCTCTCTCTCTGCCCCTTTTTTTTGGTTCACCTCTGTTCAGGTCCCAGATACATTGAGAACTGATTTGCCCTGTGGGACCATGTAAAGAATGGATCTATTTTATTTTCTTTTTCTGGTGGCTACACAGCTAGTCGAAAGCTGCTTATGTAGTATCGCCTTTGTCACAGAGTAGTCCTTGCCGAAGCACCGAAGATGGCTCTCTCTGACCAGTAACCAGGGGGTCTCCCTGTGATTGCTGGCCTGCAGGGACAGAGCTGCCCAGCTGCACAGCTACCCCCCTCGTGGACATGGCCTGTGTCCCCAGGGCGCCCGGCGTACACCCACACCCCTTGGCAGCCCCGCACTGTATCGAGACTGAGCCCAAAGTCTCGGTTCCCAAGCGGACACTGCTTATCCAATTGTCCCTGAGGAAGCTGAGGGGTCTGCTTGCCGGGCCACGTTGGACTGCAGGGAGTGGAGGTTCCCGGAGCCGTGACCCTGTGCTGTGGCCACGGAGGCCCTAGGCCCCGAGCCAAGGCCATGAATGGGGCCCCCACGTCCCTGAGGAGCGGTGGCCTCTCAGCTGGTGGGGACATGTGGGTTTGGAAGGTACTTCCTCGGGGATCCTGGGCTCAGGCCCAGCAGCCACTTCACTGTCTTTCCGGGTTGGGGGGGCAGTCCCCTCAGCCGCCTGAAGCGTGTACCAGCTCCAGTGCTTGCTGTGTGAGCCCCGTCTGTATGGGAATGGTCCCCCGGTCAGTGTCACGGGGGCGGGTGTTCCGCCGTCTAGGCGTGGTGGGGGAGGGCAGGGGCCTGGCTCTGTGTCCTCCCCAGACCTTCTTGTTACCAGGGTCACAGCTCTCAGTCCTGCTGTCCCTGCACTGGCACCCTGGCCAAACCAGAGACACACAGAATGGCCCCTCGGGGAGCGTTTCTGTGACCCTGACACCGTCGGAGAGACCCCTGGGTTTGGGGAGGGGGTGCTGGTCTTCCCTGATCCCTGCAGAGCTGAGGAAGGGAAAGGCTTAGAAACTGCGACAGCAGAGAGGGGGCAAGGCTGAGGACAGTGGTGGCACGGGGTGATGTGGTGGCGGCCTGCTGGCACTCCTGCATGAGGAAAGGGGAGAAATGCACCCGGAGGTGCTGCGGGCCCCAGCACACCGGCAGCCCCCACACAGGGGCCGTGTGCGTGTGTGTGCGTGCACCCCTGCATGTGAACTCATGCCCCACCGGCCCTGAGGGGTCACTTGCCACCAAGCACATGCCGCTTGGTCCTGTGACATGTGCACTCTGCCCTGAGTCCTCTCCCAGCAGTGTGTCTCCACAGGCTTCCTTGGTCTCCCCTTGACGTGGCCATGAGTCAAAGCCAGTCGTTCTAGAACGGGCCTTGGCACGGGCAGGTCTGCGGGCTCAGGGTCTGCCCAGGTGGTGCAGCTGGGGGCAGAGAGCTGCCGAGTTGCCCTCGGGGCCCAGGGTGGGCGGCCCCTCCTGGTGGAGGTGCCCTGGCTGCGTGGGGAGGGCCATGTCCACGGGGCGCCCTCCTGGAAACCACTGTGTTCCCCCTGGGAACCGCACATGTGAGGGGTGGGTGCTCTGAGATGGGGAGCACTGCGCCGACCTGCTGGTCCTGCCGGGTCCATGTCCACGGAAAGCTGCCGCCTCAGTTGGCGACGCCTGCATGGTCTCTGAGGCTAGTATCCAGCCTGTCCTGCTGCTTGAAGGAGGAGCTGCCCTTCCTCCCTGCTCACCTGTGACACGAGTGTGCGCCTGCCAGTCCCCACTCCGCTCTGTGGCTTGCACTCCACCCTCTGCTGTTTGCTCTGGTGCCCAGGTTTGGCCACACCACCCTGGGCCTTCACCCTCAAGCACCTCGTTGCTCATGCTCCCTCCTGAGAGTGGAACCCAAGGGGTCCCCAGGGAGCCCTGCTTCCTCTGTGGGGGGGACAGCGGGGGCGACACTCAGAAGCCATGGTCTGGCTGCAGGGGGTGCTGCCACCGCCAGAGACCCCTCAGCTGCTGAGGCCTCCGAAGCATCACGGCTGGAAGCCCATCACACCAGCCGGAGCAGGGTGTGCGTGTGCGTGTCTGTGTCTGTGCACACGTGGTGGTCTGGACTGGGAAGCTAACAGCCTGCTGTTGCCCACTTCCCAGGCTTTTCCTGCTCCGTGACAGCCAGAGCAACCCGAAGGCGTTTGTCCTTACCTTGTGCCACCACCAGAAGATCAAAAACTTCCAAATCTTGCCTGTAAGTACTGGCACTGCCACACTCATCCTCCCATGTCTCACTTCCTGGTTTTGTTGTGTTTTTATTGAATTTATTGGGGTGATGGCTGATTTTATTCTTAGTTAAGTTTCAGGGGGTAAACGAAGCAGACTGCAGACCATTAATGATCAGGCAATGCCAAGTTCACAGACGTGGTGTGTTCCGCGGCCATGTGAGCCCAAGGCTGCCTGCTTTGTGTGGGTGTGTTCCAGGGTGACGCAGGACAGTGGGGGACACTCAGAGTTTGGGGTCTGCACAGGAGCTGCTTTGCCCATCCGCTTGGCCCTGGGGTCGGAACCCAGAGCCAAGGTTGGAGCAATCCCAGAAACACCGTCAGTGAGTGTGACAGTGACCCCTGGCTCCCACAGTGTCAGCAGCCATGTCCAAAGTGATGTGGCCCTGTCTGCACCGCGTCGCAGCTTGGACCCCGGCCGTGCCTCAGGGGTTGGGGGGAGACCATCATCACGCCTCCCGGAGCTCCCCGTCCAGCTGGGGATGAGGTGTGCAGAAGAACGGCACATGTCCCACACTCTGCACCACCGCTGCCGACGGTCACGAACCGTCTGCTGTGGAGCCCAAACCAGGCAGCACTCTGCCCGAAGGGGCCGGCAAAACCCTTCCCTCTGCCACTACCGGCCAGGCAAGCTCCAAGGAGGCTGGCCGGCCCTGAGTGCATGGTGTTCACACTTGAACCTACTGGTTTTCAAGCTGGTTTGACCCCAGGACTTCAGACCCGTGGTCCTAAGAGTCCTGCAGAGGCGGGGGCGGGGGAGGGAGCAGTCCAGCAGCCGTGGTGCCGTGGCAAGCTGGTGGGGCTGCTTCCTGCCGCTGTTGCCATCTGCTCTCCCCGGGACGATGGGCAGAGTGGGGTTTGAGCCTAGTCCTTCCCAGGTCCCACACAATATGGAAAGCCCAGGAATCAGCATTTGCGAGAAAGCGCTTTATTCACAATCCTTTTTGTTTTCCCACATTGTACTAGAGGCACAGATGCTATTCTTTTAGCCTAAAATGTGAAGTAAAGTGAAAAAGCACTTCACAGCAGGTGGAGTATGCAATGCCTTCCCCAAACAACCCCATGTCCTAGAGGTGCCAGAGGGACAGTGAGCAGGGACCAAGGTAGCAGCACCAGGCTCAGAGACAGGCTGTGGGGGCTGCCTGTGGCCCAGCGACATTTCTGGAGTGCAGATGTGGCTCTGGGCTTACTCATGGACGGAGGGTGAAGTTCACTGACTCCCTGGGACCCGTGCAGGTTGGCCTGATAGCCCACATCGTGGTGCAGTCATTGAACTTCAAACGGGTTGTGTTAAAATTAGTGTCAATAACATAACTGACCCTCGACCAACATGGGTTTGAACTTATGGGTCCACTTATGGGTGGATTCTTTATAATAGCCCTGGCTGGTGTGGCTCAGTGGATTGAGCGCAGGCCTGAGAACCAAACGGTCACCAGTTCAGTTCCCAGTTAGGGCACATGCCTGGGTTGTATGCCAGGTCCCCAGTAGGGGGCACTAGAGAGGCAGCCATACATTGATATTTCTCTCCCTCTCTTCCTCCCTTCCCCCTCTAAAATAAATAAATAAAACATTAAAAAATTAAAATTGTAGCAAACAACAAGAAAGATTTTCTTAATAAGATTTTTTCCTCTAGATTAATGTAAGAAAACCGTACATAATATATATATAGCATACACAACCATGTGTCAGTTAACTAGTAGTTTGGGGGGGTAGTCAAAAGTTATACATGAATTTTCAATTGTGCCTGCCCCTCCCTGCCACAGTCTTTGAAGGTCGACTGCATGGCTCTTTCTGGGAGATGCCACTCAGTAGGAACAGCTGCCAGATAACCCAGCGCCTGGGAGAGTGGCTGGTCCTACAAGATCTCACTGATGCTGCAGGGGTGCCCAACCTACGGCCCAGCAGAAAATCCTAAGTTTACTTAAAACCGTTTTTTTGCTCATCAGTTTTTGCCAGTGTTTGTGTACTTAACCTGTGGCTCCGAGCCAGTGGTCTTCCCCCAGCGCAGGCCAGAGATGCCCAAGGGTGGCCACCCCAACATCAGGGGTCTGACTGCGGCTCCCCAGGGGGGTGCAGTGAGTGTCGGGGGCTGCGGGGGTGGCCTGCGAACACCCCATGCTAACTAGCCAGCCCCACTCTGCTCCCGGGCAAGCCCGGGCTCTGAGTGCTGCCCCACGGCTGCCTCAGGGTCAGGGTGCCCCCCCCACCCCGGGCCTGGGCAGCACCCAGTCCCCACACCCTGCTGCCCGCCTCCTGCCCCTGCTGGCAGAGCCGTGGCTTCAACCGGCCGGCATCCTTGTGTCCCCACAGTGCGAGGACGACGGGCAGGTGTTCTTCAGCCTGGACGACGGGAACACCAAGTTCTCCGACCTGATCCAGCTGGTCGACTTCTACCAGCTCAACAAGGGCGTGCTGCCCTGCAAGCTGAAGCACCACTGTGTGCGCGTGGCCCTGTAATTCCGAGGCCGTCGCCACAGCGCCCACATGGGCGGCCCAGGAGCGGGCGGGAGATCTGTGCATGGTTGAGAATACACTTGGATTCTGTTCTGTGGGGGGCGCCACTGTTCCCTGCGGTGCGGCCACCACGGTTGATTGGTTTCTTGGCTTTATGGCATTGTGTAGCCGCGGCTCTCGCGGCCATATCGGGGCATGACAAAGTGAGTGCACATTCGGAGGCAGCCCGGGACGCCTGTCCGGGCTGGGCTCCGTGTGCCTCGCACAGAAGTGATTGGAAGTGAACTCTTGCCCTGGAATAACCTTGACATTAAAACTGAGATGTTTACTTGTTTTGTATGGATCACTCTTTGCACTCCTCTGTCCTCCACGCCCTACTCTGCCTTCTGGGCAGGGGCGTGGCTTTGCAGTGCATACAGTGGGCAGGCGGTGTCTAGCAGGCAGACGTCTAGCAGGCAGACGTCTAGTGGGCAGGCGGCAGACAACGAGTGCGGCCCCCAGAGGTGGCCTGAGGTGCCCCACCTTCTTCCCATCACCATGGGCGGATTCAGCTTCCAAATACGCAACACCTGCGCCCTGCTCAGACACTCGCAGTGTGTCTTCACGGAGAAGGTGTCGCCCCTGGTCGGCCGGCCTCGAGCCCATTCTGTGGACCAGCCAGGAAGCCACAGCCTCGGTCACCTCTCCAGAAACGGTGTCCACGCCACGTGTTTGGGGTGTCACGTCTTCCACAGTTCAGAAGCCTTGACTCCCTTGGACACTCGCTGTCCCTCACCCGGCAGGGTGGAGTGGCCGCACCGCTGGCTGGAGACAGGCAGCCTTCCTGAGACACGCATGGTGACCTCGTCCATCAGCCACCTCCCCGCCCGCCCGCCTGCCCAGGGTGCTTGCAGCCTGCTCTAGGATGACCGCTGCCTGACCCCTACAGCCTGACTCCTACAGCGACATGAGTCCCGTCGTGCCTGCTCTCCATCAGGGGTTCAAGGCTCTAATGAGAAAATGCCGCCTGCTTGGTGTCCTGCAGGAGCCACTGGTTTCCATGGCGGTGAAGATGGAAACATTGAAAGGGAGCCCGAACTTTCAATCGAGGTCTGGGTGTGATGACCCTGTCCCGCTGACGCCCCGAGGCCAGCGTGGGAGGCGGCAGGAGGCTCCCCTGCCGGCTCTAACCTCGTGGGCCGTGGGTCCGGAGGGATCTGTCAGCAGGGTGCGCTTCCCGCTGGGGAGCCCGCCCACACGGGCCCTCTTGCTGGGGTTGCGCCCCCAGGCCTGTGAGCGGCCGCGCCTTCGCTTCTGGTCCCTGACGAGCACACAGACTGCTGTGGCAAAAAGTGATTTTCTTGTCCAAAGCGATCGTCCCGGCACCCGGTGCCGCCTGGCGCACCCCTCTACTTGTGCCACCACAGGCCTGCGCCCGCCCACCTGCCGCAGGGCTCCCCAGAGACTCAACTCAGACCCGACGGGCCACGGGGACCACCCCCGAGTCAGGCCCCGGTTGGGACCAGCCCCTGTATTTACTCTATGGGCTGCGTCCTGGTCATTTTCCACTGACTGCTCAGTGTATTGATGGAGCAGCCTCAGTAAAACGTGTGTAGCCGATGCTCAGTTATGTACTCTTCCCTTGAACCCAGTTCCCCTTTCAAGCCATTGACCGTTAGGCGAGTCTCAAGTCACCCTCCCTGACGGCGAGCTGCCCCGAATTCATGGAAGGGATTGACCCTTCGTGACACACATTCGTGTCCCCACCAGTGGCATGTAAAGACCCCACCACCACCACCAAGAGAGGCCTGCGCCCTGCTCTGTTTGCACAGGCCGCCCCACTGGTGAGAGGAGCCCTCACGCCTTGCCCAGTAGACACCTAGCATTGGCCGTGTTTCTCGTTTATAAACACGCATTTTATTAAAGGACAGCAAGGCCTGTCTCCATTGCATATGTAGCTAGTGTGACCTGGCCTCTTGTGCCAGGTCCCAAGAATTGCGGCCGCAGTGAATTGTTGGGGCCAGGGAGGGCTGCCCGGCAACAGCTGGTCCCCAGAGGAGGCAGGCGCCCACCCGCCAGCCAGGGCTGAGGGACGTGCGACTTTTATTTTTGTTTTTAAATGACATGAATGTAAACGGGACAGCTCAGGGTCGTTTTGGAGCCTGTTGACTTTTTATCTCCACCCGTGACTCTGTCTGAACGACAACTCCGTGTAGCTGCAGCCTGGACTAAGTCAAGAAGGCAAATGCCGGTTCCCCGGGCGAGCTGTGTTCCTGAGGGTCGGACTTCCAGGATGCTTTTCTGTTTGCTACACCTCGAAGAAATATGTGCCTCAGTCTAGAAGTTTTGTCTGCTTGCTTCTGCACACCCGTCAGCTGGGCCGATTGGCTCACCTTTTGGGGGCGGGACTTGTTCCCGGTAGAGTGTGGTGTCACCTGGAGTGCAGTGGCCCGCCGAGTGGCCAATGTGTACGAGTTTGTGGGGAGTGCAGAAATTGTTCACTTAAAAGACAAAACTTTATTCCATGTGCTTTGCTCTTCTTTGTACATAGCTCCTTGGCTCATGAACCTAATCGTGAACTTTCAGGTATTTTTGTACCAATAAGGGACTGATAATCTGTTTCTTGTAATTTGAAATAAACATTAATACAGTGTTCTTCATTTTCTATTGGCTGTAGTGTCTGTTTCTGTGCTGGGGAACGCGCCCGTGGCCAGCAGCTAACACCTTTGAAATGGCCCTGGCTGATGGCTCCGCTGGCTAAAGCATCAGCCATCCCATATGCCAAAAGGTGGGTGGTTCGATGCCTGGTCAGGGTACATGCCTAGGTCGTGGGTTCAGTACCCACCCCAGTCGGGGTGTGTATGGGAGGTAGCCAATCCATGCTTCTCTCTCCACAATCAATAACCACGTTTTTCAAAGGAAGCCTTTGCAGCAATGTAGCACATTAAGGACATGCTGCTTTGCGCTGGTGAAAACGCTTTGGGGAGGAGCTGTAGGGGATGCACAGCTCGCCTGGCCCCGCCCAGATGTCCCCCGGCCCCCTGTCATCACTAGGCCAGGTGGTCTCCGTGCTGGAGCCAAATGACCCCAGAGGGCCTGGCCCACTGCAGCCCCAGCACATGGACATGAGCCACGGGAGGCCTCAGAGGGGCAGGTCCCCACTTGAGATGAGCGAAGGCCCCAAGAAATCCACAGATAAAAACCCACAGGTGTTTTTCCTGCTCCAGCAAGGCAGGTGCGGCAGCAAGAATGTGGGTATTCTAGTCAAACAGGAAAGTGGTAGGCAGGTTAGGAGACTGGCCACCCAGCATCTCTGCTTTTGGGGAACGTGGCCTGGGGCCTGCCACGCCTCCGTCCGCACCCCAGGCCCGCAGACTGCCAGGGGCTCACGAGCCAGCCTCACCTTCATCAGGAGCTCACCAGCGGCCCCCTGGACACTCCTGTCACTTGTTTTCAGGAGAGTCCTTTGTGTCTAGGAGCACCCCCATCAACAGCGCCCCCCACCAGGGCCCAGCCCAAGCCTCCGTCACCCTCCCCCAGGCTGGTCCCTCTGCCCTGGTCCCATCCTGGGGCAGAGTTGGTCTCCTGCCCTCAGCTGCACCCCCTCACCCTGGATGGCAGTTTGCATGCTCACAGCCTCCACTGTTCCACATTCCCTTGTCCTGGCCATCTCCCCAATAGGCCTGGGTGAGGGGGACCTTCATTTCCACAGAGCCCTACTCCAGCCAACATTTAAACCTCACTTGTTCAAGGAGAAGCCTTGGGTCATTGAACAAAACCTGTGTGATACAGAGTAATAAACTGAAGAGTTGAGAAAATATGTCCCCATGGCCCGGATGCCTGGGCCACAAAAACCACCTCAGTTTTCAGTGGCCAAAACGAGACAACCTGATTGGTTGAAAGAGTCATGGGGTCAGGTGAAAGGAAGCCAACCACCCATGGCGGGACACACACACACACACACTTCCCTGCCAGGAGGTGCTTCTGAAACGTGCCTGGGAGGACTTTGCCCAAAGGCTGCAGGCCCTGCCCTGGTAGCAGCCCACCTCAGTTCACCTGCTCAGCTACTGCTCACCCTGCCCCACTGGCAGCCCCGAACCACCGTTTGCCAGTCCCAGCCCAGTGCAAGCTCAGCCCCTGGCAGGCACTGGTTTACCTGGGCTGAACTTGACCTCTCTAAGGTCAATGTCAGACCTGGAGAGAGTGGTGAATTCCACATGCTTCAGGGAAACCCTCCATCCACCTGAGCTCTTGTCACAGCCTCACTTTGCACCAAGCAGGGGACAACATCAGGAAGGATTCAGAGGCCAGAAACTGCAATGGATTGCAGGGGGCATCCCATAGGGTCAGGCAGCTTTGGTCCTGCACTGACTGTGGGGTTTCTCCTGTAGGGGCCACCGAGGACCCTGGCAGGGATGGCCCAGACTCCCCAGGCCCCACACTGGGCACTAGCGATAGTCTGTGGGGGCCAGAGCAGCACGGCCACCCTGTCTCTACAGGAGGCAGCTGCTAGTGGCTCAGGCACTTGTGGGTGTGGAGTCCAAGGGTCGAGTCTCCATCCCTTGGGATCGGAGGGTGGTAAACCGCCACCGCTCAAAGGGCAGAGAGCCGCCCCCGGCCCCACTGGAAGTGGGGGTGAGGGCCCTGCAGCCGCCTCGACTGCTCTGGCGAGCAGCCGCTGTGCGTGAATTTCCACAAGGAGTAGCAGGCTCTTGCTGAGATGGGGCCAGTCTGCAGCCTCGGATGGGTGACGCCAAGGCGCCCACAATGCCACACAGCCCCTCCTGGGCCGCCTGTTCCCTTGGGCATCTGCCGGTTTTGAAGGAGCCGGGCATCTGCAAGCACACTGGGGGTCCACAGGCATGGGCACCAAGGGCTGAGACGCCAGAGCCGGTACAGCGCCCCCTTCGGGTCCCTCACAGAGCCTGGGTCACAGAGACCCTTTGTGGAGTCTTGGGTCTCCACAAAGTGGGGGGCGTGGGAGTTGGAAAACGGTCCCCACAGGCAAGGTCACGGCTACGACGTTCTGCAAGACACCACTCAGTGCAGAAGGGGCACACAGCTCACGGGGGTGGCGGGGGGACGAGGGCTTATTGTGGCCAGAAATTAATGTTTAACTGTCACACAGGGCTGAGCTTAAGGCCTTGGACATGTGTGTGTGGAGCTGCCGGGTCAGAGGACCCTGGCCACTTCCCCACGCCCAGAAGCCAGAGGTCCTGGGTGGTGAGGAACCACACGTCCCAGCAGGTGAGTTCCGGCTTTTGTTATTTAATCAGAGTATGGTTGGCAATACCTATACCTTGGCCTGTCACTTCACAGTGCAGAACCTTCGCTTAAAAGTTAATTCACTTGGGGGCTGGAAATTATGCTGTCTGCTCTCTCTCACGCTGCCTGTGGCTGGCAGAGCCACCGGCCTAGGGGCACGGTGACACTGGGGGCAGACAGGCGCCTCCCGGCTGGTGCGGAAGTGATGGCCCGAGGCGACAGACCCCAACCCTGCTCCTCTCTATGCCTCTCCCCCACGGCAGGCTCCCCCCAGCCTTTGTCTCTTCCTCTGTAACATGGGGGGGCCCATGGTAGCAGGTGGATTGAGTTACATGGAGTCTGGAAAGTATCTATCTGGCACATGGGAGATGATGAATAAATGTTAATACTTTCCTTATCTCTGGTCACATTTAGGAGACATTTTGTTTCCATTTCTGGTCAGTGCTTGTGTTTCTATCGAGATGCCTTTTTTCTTATTAAAAAGGTCTTTTTGCATCATCGCATAATACAAAAGGCATTAGTGTATAATGCATGCATCCCTAGCACTGCGCATTTTCAGTCACCTCCCCTGCTTTGGAAGTTGTCTTCCCAGTTCACCTAGCTGGGAGGACAGGCGTTCTCACCAGCAATGCAGTCACCTTGGCCGCTCCTCCACGGGGCGCTGGGGACGGTGATCACGTGAGGAACCACTCTCCTCCAAGGCCGTAAACACACACCTCTCAGTTGTCCTGGAAAGTTGGCCTTTCGGTTAAGGATTTAACCTACCAGGAGGGAGAATGAGTTCAATGTCATTTTTTCCCCCGAGTGCTGACCAGCTGTCCCAACACCATTTACTAGTCCATCTTTCTTTACTGATATTGTTCAATGTGTGTTAGTTTTCCTTTCTTTGTGGAATTTTTTTTTTCTGGGCTCTCTATGCTGCTTCATTGGTCAAGTATGTACCCTTGCATCAAAAACATTACTTTTTTCCCTAACTGGTGTGGCTCAGGTGGTTGGACGTCATCCCACAAAGCGAAAGGTCTCGGGTTCAATTCTTGGTCAGGGCATGTGCCTGGGTTGCAGGTTCAGTCCCCCATAAGTGTGTATGAAAGGCAACCAATCGATGTTTCTCTCTCCCACTGATGTTTCTCTCCTCTTTCTCCCTCCCTTCTCCTCTCTCTAAAATAAATAAATAACATCTTGAAAACACATTACATTCAGCCCTGGCTGGTGTGGCTCAGTGGATTGAGCACCAGCCTGTGAATCAAAGGGTTGACAGTTTGATTCCCAGTCAGGGCACATGCCTGGGTTGTGGACCAGGTCCCCAGTAGGGGGCGCGTGAAAGGCAACCACACAATGATGTTTCTCTCCCTCCCCTCCCCTCTCTAAAAATAAATAAAACCTTAAAAAACACACACACATTACATTTTTACAGCTTCTTCTGTCTTGATAAGTGTGGAGCAGGACCCCTGCTGCGTCCTCCTCCCTGGAGACTCTTGCTCTTCCCTCTGTACTGACTTTGGAGTCCAGGGTGTGTGCTGGGGGTTTGATGGCCCAGTTTTGACTCCCTTCACTGGTTTGAGGAAAATAGGAATGTTTGCAATGGCGAGTGGCCCGCTGGCCAGCGGGCATTCGTTTTCACGGACTGGGGTCTGCAGTGCCCGCCATGCTTTGTAAGTGTCCTCCTGGAAGTCTAATGCATCTTTGGTCAGGCTCAGCCCTGCCACCCTGCCCTGGCGTGAGTCCTGTCACATCATCAGCGTGGCTGACCACAGTTCCAGCCGCCTGCATGTGGCCCACCTGTGCTGTGCTGTGCGTGCGGGGTCAGCCCAGCCTACCTCTCCCCGCCATCTGCCCACCTCCCAGGCTTGGAAGCGGAGCCTCCTCCTGGCTGGATGGCTCTCCTGTCCAAGCTGGGCCCTGTCCCCACACGCATGGGGCCAGTTACCTTAGTGCCTCTTGGTCCACGCCCAGCCCCCTGTGTCCCGCACATGCCCCTAGCCACCAGTCCCCCTGGCTGAGGAGCAGCCCCACCCCACGACCACGGCGGCTGGCCTGCTCAGCCCCTGCAGTCTCCACCCTAAGGAGCCCCCAGGGAGAGACGCCACTTGATAAAAACCAGGGCGGGGCAAACTCCCAGCCCTGGACCACCCCAGGCCCTGAGCCTGCAGTGTGTTTGCGAGTGTGTATGCATGTGCATGGTGCACATGTGGGTGTGTATAATGGGGGCACAGGACCCCGCCTGCCCCTCCTGGCCTGAGGGGCTCTCCCTGGTCCCCCATCCCAGGCGCACAGGACTCAGTGCTCACCTTGGAGGGGGAGGTATCCTGCCCTCCTGCCCCAACCAGCCTGCCCAGGAGGGCGGAGGACAGAGAAAGCCCACCTGCTCTTTTAGGTCACTGTGCTGTGAATGCTGGTGGCTTCCAGAGTGAAGGAGCAGGGCTGAGTTGGACAAACCTGTGTTTGACCCCTTGCCAGCCTCTCTCTGCTCCTCTCTGATCTGGAATGAGAGCAGACGGTGCCCTTTTTGCTTCCATCCCTCCTGGCTGAGGTCCCAGCAGCCCCCAGAGGGAGGAGAGGGAAGCAGGCGTGTGGCCCGGCGTGTGGTCCGGCACGGTCACAAAGCGGGCGCTCCTGCCTTCCCGTGCCCGGCTGGCCCTCTGTCACCCCTGGAGTGGAGCCCGGGAGCTGGGCTTGCTCAGAGGTTGTTCAGAGTCTCCGGGAGACGAGCCGAGTCTCGGCCCCACTCAGTGAGCTGGGGGCCAGGACCCCTTTCCCATGGCCTCCTGCCCCCCAGTGCCTGCGGCTGTGCTGCCCCTCAGTGCTGCCCAGCCCTTTCCTGGCCCTCAAGACCTGGGGGCGGGGGCAGGAAGCAGAGAGGGGAGATGCAGCCAATAAGTAAGCAGATGCGCTGATTGGCTCTGGGCTGTGGACACTGTCTGTATAGATGGCAATCTCAGACTCACCGCCTTGTGCTGTTAGCTGTCACCAAGGAGAGGACGGAGGGAAGACACAGCCAGCCAGTGTGAGTGCTGCTCTTTGTCCCCGCGCCCTGGGGTCCCGACTGGGTCCAGCGCCTGGGCTCTGCCCCTCCCTCGGTTTGGGGATGGTGGCGGGCTCACCTGTTGCTGCCAGCTGGGGTGGTTTCCGTGGTGATAGGGAGGCTGCAGGAACTTTCTGAGAAAACGGGTGTGACCCCGAGACACCTGCTTCTGCGTGTTCCCTCTAAGCGACATGGGGCACAGAGTTGGGAACTTGGGACAGTGTTAAGTCTGTGCTCCCCGAGCTGTGAGAAGACATAAGGAGCAAGTGGACGCTGTTCTCCAGCTGCTTCCTGGTGCCTGTGGTAATGGGGTGGGGGCCAGGACACAGGCTGGAAGGAGGAGCAGGTGGGGTTAAGGCGGGGTGCAGCCCGGCTGCCTCAGCCCCTGCCCTCCTCACAGCAGGCAGCCCCGGGCGGCCTCCCGCGGGTGCTGGTAGAACCGGGGCGACGCTCACGGGGGTCGGGAGCAGGAGGGGCTGTGGGCTGCTCGGCAGCCCCGTCACCGGGGTTTTCTGTTTTCTCTGTCCCCAGGGGACATGGAAGCAGCCAACCTGGGTTTTCCCCTTAATCCTATTTCTCTCTCAGACGCTCCAAGGGCCGGGCTCCTTGCCGGTGGCTTGTCATTCCCATCAGACAGATTCCCTAGGAAACAGGACAGGAGCCAAGGGGACATGGCATCTGAAAGGTGGCCCCCCGTAGACTTCCAGGGGACCAGAGAGAAGCAGACTTTTTGGTGTGGGCACAGCCAGCAAGGTTCCCAGCAGGGTCAGTGGACCCCCTGGAACATTTAAGACATGGCAAGGGTGGGGGGCATGCCTGCACGTTTTTGAAAGAGACCCCTGCGCTCTCTTGCCTCCCCCACCGGGAGGTGCCTGAGCAGGCAGCCGGGTGGAGAAAATGGCTCAAACAAAACCCCTGCCCCTGTCCGCTTCAGGGACTCAGCCGGGAGGTGCACCTACATCCACTGCCCCTCTTCGAGACCACTTTCAAGGCCAGGTGTGCCTATCCCCTTGGAAACCACACCTGACTCTGATGATCGGGTAGGGCTCTGCGGGAACGCGGCTCCCACTGCGATGTTCTGGGAGGGCGGCCGAAGCCGCTGCGTGCAGGGGCTCCTGGGTGGGCGTTCCTGGAGGAGGGAGTCCCAGAGTGGACACGGACTTGAAGGAAAGGCTCAAGTCCTCAGGTGTTCTCCACTGGGGCTGGGTCCTGGGAGCAGCAGGCGTGGGACCCAGGCCAGAGGGGTCGGACCTGGCCGCGCGGGGCCCCAGAGCCCCGTGTGGAGCTGCCGTGAGCCGTGCGGGCTGGCAGGGCCCTGCTTCCCGAGCCCTCGCCCCATCTGCTGAGTGGGCTCGCTCTGCCGCTTTGTGGCGCTGCCATGTGCACTGAGATGTGTGGTGACTTCTCAGCATTCCTTCGGTTTGGGGTGGGCAGACCAGGGCTTCTCCTGGGCACCAAGGACCCCAGGACCACCGGCGCTGCCCAGCCTCTGCTGTGCCTGTCTCCATCAGGATCAGTGCTCCCCACCGCCAGAGCGCTTCTCCGCGTGCAGTGAAGGGGCGGGACCCCGAGCCCTGGGTGGCAGGTGCTACCCCCGCCCGGCCCAATTAGGGCCCCTCTGGGGTCTGTGGGCGCTGAGGTCTCAGGCCACATGAGGACGGGGGTGGCAGGCAGTGCAGGTGGGCACCCAGCCACAGCATCGGAAATGCCCGCAGCTCTGCTCTTGGGCCTGGCTGTGTGGTGGGGTTGGTGGCGCCCCCTGAGGGTGGCCTGGTGTGGGTGGCAGGCAGCCGGTGCATGTGTTGGGAGTGCGGCTGTGTGGGTGCACAGGTTGGCCATCACTTTAGTTTGGGGGCCGCAGGCTGTGACCACCCAGGGCCCCATGCGGTGTCAGGATTTGACTTGGGGAGCCATGTGCTGCTGGGCCGGCCCTGTGCCCAAGGATCAGTGAAGAGTCACA